AGTGGAAAGGGATCTTGGAGTCTGAGTGAACTCCAAGATGAACATGAGTCGTCAGTGTGACAGAGTCATCAGCAAAGCTAACTGCATTTTATCATGCATCAGCAGACGCATGAGAAACAGAACCAAGGAGGTGATACTTCCCCTCTATCAGGCACTGGTCAGACCGCAGTTGGAATACTGCATGCAGTTTTGAGCGCCCCACTTCAAGAGGGATGTGGATAACCTGGAGAGGGTCCAGAGAAGGGCCACTCATATGGTTAAGGGCTGGTAGGCCAAGCCCTACGAAGAGAGACTAAGGCACCTGGACCTCTTCAGCCTCTGCAAGAGAAGGTTGAGAGGTGACTTTGTGGCTGCCTATAAATTCATCATGGGGGCGCAGAAGGGAATTGGTGAGGCCCTGCTCACCAAGGCGCCCCTGGGGGTCACAAGAAACAATGGCCATAAGCTAGCAGAGAGCAGATTTAGACTGGACATTAGGAGGAACTTCGTCACAGTTAGAGTGGCCAAGGTCTGGAATGGGCTTCCAAGGGAGGTAGTGCTCTTCCCTACCCTGGGGGTCTTCAGGAGGAGGTTGGATGGGCATCTGGCTGTGGTCATATGAACCTAGCACACTTTCCTGTCTATGCAGGGGGTCGGACTCGATGATCTATTGAGGTCCCTTCCGATGCTAACATTTGTGAATCTATGAATAAGACAAGTCATTTATAGTTTTTAGTATTAAACATAATGATTGTAACTCAGGGAAATAATCGGTGGTGAGGGAAGGGAGGGTAAGGAAAGACTGGATTGTGGCAAAATAATCATGGAACTACCCCATTTAAGCAAGTGAATATCTTCTTGGTATATTTGGGAGTTTTCATTATTATATTATTGAAATACTTTTGGTATAACAGAGAAGATAAATATTAGTAGAAATTTGGAGTCTGCACTGACTCCCAGTAGCTTTCTGGACACAATCCAAGGTGCTGATTTTGACCTATAAGAACATAGGGCCCAGACCATTTAGGGCCTTAAGGGACCACCTTCTCCCTTATGCCCTATGATGATCCCTAAAGTCAGCAAAGAGCAACCTCCTACAAGTACCATTGGTACTTGGCAAAAACAGTGGAGAGGTTGTTCTCTGCAATTGCTCCTTAGCTCTGTATCTGCCTTCTGCCTGAGGTTCACTGGAGCCTGAGCCTGGATATCTTTTGGAAGCGCTGAAAGGCCTTCCTTTTTGGCAGGTGCTTATCAAATAAAACTAGGCTGAAATATGGTTTAGGGGGTCTTTGTTTTATCTTGGTATTCTAGTTCCCTTCTAAGTTGCTTTTGTTCTCTTGTCACTCTAGTTTTTAAGCTGTTCTTTTTTCTTATTATAAGCTGCCCTAAGCCTTTGTTGGGAAGAGCGGCATATAAATAAATAACTAAGTTAGGTAGAAACTTGGAAGGCTCTAATTAGGAGGGAGTTTTATTCATGGAACAAAGCAGAGACATCCAAGCAGATTGCATAGCTTCAGATAACAGACTGTAAGAGGGATGGCATAGCCTGACAAATTGTCCTTGAAGCATCCAGATCACTCTGCGAGTCCAGTAAACCACAAATTGAGCACAGTGTGGCATATTACAATAATATCTAACTTGGTACTAGGAGGGAAATTGGCTTTGATTTCAACTGAGACTTCTACTTGTGTTTCAAAAGGAGAGTCTTCCCCAGATCCAAGTTTGGAAAGACTTTTCCTTTTGGTCCATCTAGGATGAATAGTAATTTTCAGCAGAAGACAATGTATTACACTGGTAATTTTATGCAGTTAATTATAGCAGTAACTTTTAGAAGCCGTGTCAACTGTAAGAACAAAAGACTAGATTCCTGCACAATATATTTGTGAGACTACTTGTCCATTGTTGACAGAATTTCACTGCATGTAAATTTCCTTCTCTTAACATAATAACTGTTTGTAGAAATGTTAAAAGTCTAAAAACTTCAGAATGCAGTCTTAGAATTTTTGGAGTGGGATTCTTTTATTCTTGTTGGATGATTACAATATATGGACAGACTTTTAGCCAGTGTTACAGCAATGTAGATATTTTGAACCTGGTGAAGTTACACTGATTTATACCAACTGATGACAGGCAGCCAAAACTCCTTAGTTTGGTTAAGGGTAGGGGAAATGAAGAGTTTCTTGCCTTCTTGGTGGACCTGACATTGTGTGAAAGGACATGGGATGCAGAGATTTGCGAAGATGTAGCCCAGGAGCGGGCAATTATTTCAGGCGGAAGGCTGCTTACTGAGTTTTGGCAAGCCATCGCGGGCTGCATGACAGGCAGCCAGGGGCAGATAAATATTAATTTTCTAAATTTTTTAGGGGCCCCGCAGGCTGGATAGAATGGCCTGATGGACCATCTCCAGCCCGCGGGCCGCATTTTGCCCACCCCGATGTAGCCTTATATTCTGTACCAGAGGTGTTCAACCTCTGGCATGTGGGCCTGCAGCACCATGTCATTTAGCCAACAGGAATCTCCACAGATTTGGAAATTTAGCAGTGGGGAAGTGGTGTCATGGTTGCCTTGCTGCCAAATCTCCAGATCCATAGGAAGCCCTAAGTGCTGCACACTGGATGTAGTACCCAGTTCCAGCACATCCATCTCCTACATAAGAGGAGATGTATATAACCATTTACTTACTGAAAATGAGTATGTAACTTTTGATGCTTCCTGCATATCTGGTGTGTCACATCAGACTGATACTCTTTTGTTTTGGGGAAAAAACAGTTCTTTCCAAAGCCTAAGTAATGAGAGAGAAATTAAGCACCAGTGCATATCAGATTAGAAAAACTTGGCCATGTAAACTGCTTTCCTGTTGCAAATATTTGTGTAATTAGTGGGGATTTTGAAAGCAGTTAAGCAAATGGAATTTACTTCTTGAACAATACACTTTTTTTTAATGTTGCATGTTGAGTGACAAGAAGAGTAAATCTAGGAATTATTTTCTTGCCATATGTCACTCAAAAATAGCAGCTTAGTCTCTTCTATGACTTTCCAGTACTTGTATCAGTGAGTGCGGGGTTATTACTGCTATTATTGTTCTTTTCTTCTGCCCTGCAAAAAGGTGGAAGGAGGAAGCAGAATGATAATCTCATATTATCAGACTGGTTGTTTAAAATTATTTGAATTCCTTATTAAAAAACACTAGTCACATATTGTTGTGAAGAATCCTGTTTTACATTATATGTGCTTCAGGAAACTGTTTGCATGCTTTACTTCGGAGTGGGCGATGATTTGGGCTGGACGGCCACTTAAGGACTTTTGGTGAGCTGTTGAGGGCTGGGGCAGGGGGTGGCAATTGATCCTATTCAGCCTACAAGCCGCTGCTACAAACCAGAAAAGAGAGGGCTACAGCCCCACACCACTCTGCTGTGTCCTGGTTGGGGCCAGGCCGGGCTGCACAGGGAGCACACTCCTCTGCCCCGCTCTCCACCATTCATTATGCCCCATCTGTTTCCTATCTCCGCCTCTGCCCAACCTCCTGTTGGCAATGTGCAGTTCTGTCACTGGTAGCTGGGCCTGCACTGGACAGGGTGTGATGCAGAGCACTGAGTAGCTGTTCCACCTGCCTGTCTGCTGCAATGAGCCACTGCCACACCACGCCAGGAAAGTCAAAGGCAGCTGCCCCAGGCCAAACCGCCCCTGTGGCTGGCACAGACTAATGTCACCACGGTGGCAGTGGGTTATCTTGGCAGGCAGGCAGAAAAGCTAATCAGTGTGCTGCATTGTGCCTCAACTTATATTTGGTGCCAGGACTGCACAGCTGCAGCACCAACCAGAAGCCAGGGGAGGGCGGGATAGATGTGGAGGTGGTGGAGGAGTCTACATGCTTCCTGGCCCTGGCTGCAGTGGAGTGGTGTGGGGTGCAGCTCTCCCTCCTGAGGCTCCTGGTGGTGGCAGCCAGCAGGCCACATACAGCCCACAGGCCACATTTTGCCAACCCTTGCTTAACTTAGTATAGACTAATGAACAGTCTAACTGCCAAGTATTTGGTTAGTGTGCCTAACTTTCTTTTGTTCCTCCTTAGGGAAAGGGTGAATATACAATGGAATACAGTAGATACCGGCCATGTTCATCTAGTACTCAGGAAGAGATAATTAACAAACACCTAGAAGCAACAGGAAGACTTCCTGCAAAGAAGAGCAAGGCTAAGGGCTGACTTTCATCCTCTTGAACTTCACTGAATAATTTTTCACAATCTTCTAGTCAGGCTTTGAAATCGGACTTAGTTGGGACTTGTTCTTTATTAAAACTGCCTTCATTCACAATGTACTCGGAAATTATCAGGAGGTCACTACTAAAATGGTCATGTACAAATTCCATTCATTAGCAAAAAATCATAATATAATAATAATAATAATCATAATTTGTTGTTCAAGTTCTTGTTTTAAGCCATTTGTTTTAAAATGATGAAGTAGTTTTATTTTTTACTTGAGAAAATACTGGTATCTGATTAAAGACATTATTGCTTCTTAATTTTTAGAGGTGTCCAGTATGCCAATTTCAGTGACTAAATTCTTGTAGCCAGTAGCTTGTAAATGAGTTGTTATCCAACACAATGAATATTTACCCTTTAAAATCCGCTCCTGAACAGATCCCTTTGCTCCTACAACTTGTTCAGTGACAGTACCCATTTAGGAAGTGAACATAAATATTAATTTCTTTCTCATCCTAAAACTGAATTCTAGGTTCTTCCAGACATCTATCAGTACAACTTGCTACTCACCTGCTCTGCTTACAACAGATGATCCCCCTATAACAAATATGAAAAGAGTTACTGGGCACAGCTACGTGATGCCACTGCTACATCACTGTAGTAATGCATTCCCTTGGTATTGTGCGATGCTACAGCAATGTAGCAGCTAAAAATAACTGCATCATGTACAGTGCAGTATGGGCTGTTACTGTGCTGTCATTTAGCACTTCCAAGAGGAAGTAACAAAGGCGCTGTAGGGACATGTGTAGATGCACCCACTGAGAACTTAGTTATACAAACCTTTCATAAAACTAGAGGTCTTTGTAAGCTACAATTTTATATGGATTTAGCTGCTGTTTCATTCCCAGTTGGATCCCTTTGTGGACACCAAAGACAAAAAACAAATTTTTGGCTGAATCTTTCCAAAAATCTTGCATTCAAGTAGGTAGGTCATCCTGTCATTGAAACTGAAGTCAATAGTTCCTTTGAGGGCACTACAAACAGTGAGAGGCAAGCTGCTACAGTTAGTTGAGGAGGTGAGGATATTGTTGCTTTTTAAAAAAGTTTTGCTACCTTATCAGAAGAATTTGATTTTTACCTGTGCTAACTCTCCCATGACCACTGCAGTTTCTACTGTGTGCACCAGAGTTTGAGATCAAAATCACTGAAGCATTTTGGGACTCTGTTCCTACAACGGGATTTTGGGAGGTGTTCACCAGCCCTAGAACACAACTGTAATGTCATCTACTTTGTCACTGCATTAAGCAAAGGTAGTAAAGAGGTTTATAATAGGTCATTTTTGTTTTTTAAACAATTTCAGGCATATGCCAGGTACATTCAGACACAAATTAGATATGTGCCATTTAAGACAAAATCTTGTTTCCCTTCTCATTTTATAATGCCTTGTGAATAATATCAGCTGAATTTGGCTTTTATGAGTGCCTTGCAGTCTTTGTTCCAATTGAAAAACATTCTATAGCACTTTGCTGTAAAAAGCAGCAATACAAAACAGATGATGTTATAATTTTGAAGAGATACAACATAATTATTTTTTTCATTATATTCATGGTTCTAATTAGTCTACTTGAAGGATTGCTTTAATTAACAAGCAGGTATTGGAAACAGATGTATTGCTTTCAAAGTCCCAAAGGTTTTAATTAAATCATGAAGAATCACTTCCATTACAGGACTGATGGGGAATACAGTAGCTCCTATCTTTGTGGTCACTGAAGGGACTGAAAGAAGAGTTTTTCAGTGGAAGCAGCCTTCAAACAATAGTGTGACAGAACTGGAAGCCTACTTCTGCTCTCTTACTGTTATTAATATGAGTAACACCATGTAAAGCTGAGGTATGCCATTACAGGCCAGTATGAAATATTTATCAGGCTTGTCACAATTTCAGGTTCTTTCACTGGGGCAGGTTTCTTAAGAGGATGCTTTGCGAAGGAGCTGTAACTTGATAACATACTCTTGTGTAAAGAGTAGCTAAATGGTCAGATGGCATTCAGTGGACAAATTAGGGCTCACTTGTGACAGCTCATCAAAGAGAAGGATTGGTTTGGTCTTTTCTAACTAAGAGACAAGCTTTGAACATTGTTGAAATATCTTATTTATTGTGACAGACATTAATTTAAGGTGCCCTCATATCTCAACCCATGGCTTAATGAATCTGAGATGAAAAGATTTGACTGAAATACTTTAGTCCCATAATTTATACCATAATGTCTCTCCCACTAAAAGAGGTTCCTTTAACCTGGTATTAGTTTTAAATGGTTCCTTGGTTTTAAGACAATTCCAGATAAATGGGCCTAGACTTAGAGAAGGATGGTAGGGGGCAACACATTTGCCCTAAATCTAGAACACTACCATCTTGCAACAAGACTTCAATACGCTTAGGATGGGACACAGACAAAGCAGTTGATAAGAATGTCTGACACAAAGCTGTTTGATTGGGCACTCTGAAAACCATTTTTTTTCTTTGCTGAAGCTCTGATGTACAGAGCCCCAAGACCTTGGCTGTTCTGTCCATCTTAAAGGAAATGACAGGAACTCTGTGTATATTGTAAATAAAAACACACTAAGGTCTCTTTGTAGTCTGTCTTATTTTTAATTCTTCTCTTGCAACAAGTTGTTTCAGGCTGTTGTGAAAGAAAAGTTTTCTTCATTTTCAGAGTTGTCTTCATAAGCCAGGACAGCTAGAAACAAAGAAAGGAGTGTTGTATAAGGGAGCACAACTTGGTTTCATGGAATGTCTTCTGCAGTGAAAAATCTGTGGGAAATGCTGGTTTCCACTTCTTAGGACATGTTTTTCTATTTGTGGGACATTTCTCTCTGCTGTGTCACTAATCTTTCTAGAAGATCTGTCTGCTGGGGTCTGCTGCATCTAATGGCTTTGGATTTGGAATCGGTGTCAAAGGTTGGAAGTTGCTGGATACAACGAATGAATCAATGTCATGCAAAAATAAAACCCAAATTCTGCCACGTGTTATGGTATTTATTTTACTGCAGATATAAGTTAAAATTAGCATATAATATTCCTTTTCAAAAAAATCAAAAATATCTAGTAGACAAATATTTGTTACTGAAATGGAAGATTAATACTTTTATCAAGACTTTTATCCAAATATATTAACTTTGTCCACATACTATGTCACTCTGTGTAACAGTAACTTAGTGACATAAAATCAGTTTATGTAATGCATTTTTTGTAATACAAGTTTTAGGTAGGTATGAATCTAGAATGTGTGAGTTGTTGCATTTCAAGAAATTATACAAAGATTTGTTTTGGGTCAAAGTTTGACTATTCAGTAAAAGGATTCACTTTCATTGCAATATTATTTGTGCAGAAGAGTTATTAGAAAACTGACTGGAGCTATTAATACAAGGGTTTCTTTCATTTGAAATCTTTATATAAACTGGCATTGACCTATTTTTAAAAATTTGCTTCTTTTTCGTTTAATATTCCATCAGCTGATCCAGATTCCATACCAGATACATCTTCAGATTCTGCTGACTGATTCTCGGAAGAGCAGAAGTACTTCACTTTCAAAGGATGATTGGGAATCCAAATGACACGCATGTGGCATAAAATCATTTCCTGGGAAGCAGATGAGAAAGGTTACCTTTGTGTTTCTTCCTTGTTGATATAAAGCAGTTTTAGGCTATATATGTTTCTTACCTGGGTTGGTATTTCATGAAGTAGGACAGCATAGTCAAAGTCAATCGAATCATCTTTACTTATCTGCACACACAAAGAAACTACAATGAAGAAGATCAGTAGCAATTACCGTAATATTCAGAAGTGACTGCTGGATGTTTAGTAATGCACATCTATCTAAATAATAGGATCGTAGGAAAATAAGGCAGAAAAGGATGTCATGAGGTCATCTAGTCCAGGCCTTTCTCAAGGCAGGATCACCCCTGACTAAACCATCCAGTCAAATGGTTGTCTAACCTGTTCTTGAAAATTTCCAGGGATAGAAATTCCACAACCTCTCTAGGGGGCTGGTCCAGTGCTTCCTATGAATAATATGTCTGCAGAGTAAAAAGAACATAAACACTGCTACACAGAAGTATTTCTGTATACAAAAATCCCACTATTGAGTGCAATACCTGTAATGACTTCAAAATAACTTTCTGTATCAAGTATAGGGCCAGATTTTCCATTGACTTGAGTTTGTTTCAAATACCTTTGTGCATTCACCCACATACAAATATGGTCCATAGTAAATTCAGTCATACAAGGTGGAAATATAAAGCCTGTGACTACAGACTTTATACTGTGACAACAGTGTTGTACTGATACCCATTAATTAGAGCTTTGATATATAAACAGTATAAATGGTACTCTGGTAAGAGGACATCTGCCTAACGGGGCCATATGTGCAGTAGAACTTTGTTTCTAATATGCATTTTAATGGGTTTTATATGTGTAGTCCAGAGACCCCAAACCAGATAAGGGAGACTGGAACATTTTTTAACGTTGGACAGAATTAAAATGCAAGTGATTTTAAGTGATTCATTTATAATTCAGTTTATGAAATGTATTTAAGTTCCATATCCAATAAACTATTTCATCCAATAGAAATAAAACTAGTTACTGCATTTTCTTTTGGAATTTGAACTCTGATTTCCAGGTCTAGAAGCCAGATAAAGTCATAAGAGCAAGACTTTAATATCTGAACTTTTGTTTGTTCATCAGGGGTTTTCAAACCTTAGCTTTTATGCCCTTATGAAAAAAAAACTTTCACTCAGCTGGGCTGTATTCAGAACCTTGCTAGGATTGGCCTGGCAGCATGCGCAGCCCAAAACTGGAGCCTGCCAGCTAGTGATGCTCCGGCTGCTGGCCAGGCTCCCAGCTGCAGTGGTGCCATGGTTGCAGCTGCCCGGGGCCCCCAGGTAAGGTTGCTGGGGCCAGTGTAGTGTGCATGGCACAAATGTTCCCCCGAGACAAGAAGCAGTGGCACAGATTCTATTTTTCTACAGCCTGAATCCTAATGCAGTGAAATCTGTCTTGGACAGAACCTCTATAAGCCAGAAAACTGCTCAAGCCAGAAAATTTCTATGGTTCTAGTATGCCTTATGAAGAATTATGTGTATTTAGTTTCTATTAGGGGTGTGTGAAATGGGCTATATTCAATTTGGGTTCAGCCTGAATCAGGGACTGTGATTCGATTCGTTGATTCGGATCACTGTCCCGGATTCAATTCGGCCGAATCCAAATCTGAAGATTCGATGCTGATTTGGAGAATCAGCAATTCGGCCATAGACACAGCTTTAA